GTTTTCAAGCAAAGAATCCTCACCTCCAGTGTATGACCTTGCCACTGATCATGACAATCAATTCAAACCTTCTCAAGGACCACACAATGGACCCAAAGGATCAATGTATTCAGAGCTTGGTGAGTATGCACGTCTCTCACATAGTGAACCATCAACAGAGAAGTTACTCAGGCCTCAGCATCATAGCAGTGTTGAGTCAGATCAGCACTCACCTTATGACTCATCTCAATTGTATGATACTGCTGATGTGTCTTTCAATCAACCAACAGATAACAATGGAAGAGGACAAAATACTTACACTGTCAAATCTCAACAGTCAGTGCAGTATACTGCAGGGAAGAGACTACAAGTTGTTACAATAGTCCTACTGGCACTCATACTGATGCTATTGGTATGTGTGCTGGTAGTACTGTTGCTTAATAAAGGTTCATGTACATGTGATACAAGCAGTAATAGTGCTGGCCTCACTAATAGTGGTAATACTGCTATTAACAGTAACCTGTCACTGATACAGGATACAATGAACCAAAACTCACGCCTTCTTCAAAATACAATCAATAATAACTCAATAGTTTTGCAAAACAAAATAAACGAATTAATGGAATGGCATGCTACTAAAAATAGGTCATTACTTCTCCTCCAAAGTAATGTGGAATATATCATAGAACAGATTAATGGGCACAATGTTAACAGTAACCTCTCACTGATACAGGATACAATGAATAGCATGATTCAACAGATTATGGTACATGCTACTAATACCAACAGGTCTACAGATCAACTACTTCAATTACTGAAAACTAGTCTTATTAAAGATATCAGTATACCAACTGCTGCTGTTGTTAATGATGTACTACTAATAGTCAATGAATTACAGAATGGGTCCTTTTTGTTTAATTCCATTCGACCTGTTTCTTGTAAAGATATCGAAACAGCTCATCCCAACAGTCCTTCTGGTTACTATTATGTTAACAGTCACAATATATACTGCAATATGGGAGAGCTGTGTGGACAAGATGGAGGATGGACAAGAATAGCTTATCTTAATATGAATGATAGTTCCCAGAACTGTCCTTCTGGACTTCAGGAATTGATGACTGGAGGCATTAGAGTTTGTAGGAGAGAGGGTAATTCTGCTGGTTGTAGGTCTAATGTATTTCAAACAAATGGTATCAGTTATAGTCAAATATGTGGTAAAGTGGTTGGATATCAAAAGGGAAGGACCAATGCTGTTTTAGTTAACAGCAATGATATCAATAATGCTTATATTGATGGAGTCAGTATCACATGTGGGTCACCTCGTCGACATGTCTGGTCTTATATAGCTGGGTTAAGGTCAAATGCTAATGGAGGTCATACCTGTCCTTGCAATACTGGAGCAAATAATACAATTCCATCATTTGTAGGAGAGAACTACTATTGTGAATCAGGTACAAACGGTTTCCCTTCCTTTGGTACAGTATACACTACTGATCCATTGTGGGAT